CCTATGAATGAAAGTTTACAACGTAGGTGCACAGGTCGAGAGAGAAATGTGAGTAATCAAGGTGTCAGACAGTGACACGTTCAATACCGCCTTCCACACTCTGGCCTGCATCTAGCTGATCTAGGGTGTAATCATTAGTCCAACAGCTGCAAACAAGAGCTTCTATTGGACAAATTCAGGTATGTTAATCGCCGTTTCGTTCATTTTGCTTCCGTTTAAGAAACGTTTTTCAAAAGAATCGGCGGAATGAATGAATACACCCCTGATCACATGCAAACACATTACTAGCAGCCACATTTTAACCGCATGCTCACTTTGCTGGTTTTATATACAGTACAATTCCATCACGCATCTATTGTTCGCTCTCTCCTCTCACCTTTTCCATACAATACAACCGCTGCCTGTGACCAGGCAGAAAAACCTTTCCAAGACAAACTTTCAGTTGTGAAAATGAAAAGACTGAAGTTGGTGTTTCATTTCAGGGGATGTTCTAAATATATATCCACTTTATTAGAATAGTAATAATATGAAACGTTTGATTCATACCTTTTCTGAATTCCTCTGCAAACTATAGCCTACGACGCAGGCAGCGACTCCATGGCATTATGATAGGCTCCTCAGAGAGGAATATCGAAGGACTTGGCTCTCCTACCAAGCGATCCTACTTCATACGTCCGAGATGGGAAATGATAGAAACCACATAACAAGATACTGTACTTTCTGAAGCAGTGAGGGGCCTATACAGTCACTTTTTCACCACATACGTTTTTTACGCACGCACATGCACATACACACCCGCACATCTGCGCGAATAGCGCAACCGTAAATGTCTGCCAAAACGCATCACAGAGAAGCGATAGAAAAGGAATAAAAAGGTGCAGATAAACTGGACTTTACCTGCCGCGTTCACGGTGTAAGGAGAGACAGGTAAGCGCTTCACTCGGTGCGCTGTCTAAAATCCAAACTACCCGCAACACAAACCTCGGAAAGTAGCCTGTTCGGGGTTTGGGTTCAGTTATTTTCAAAAACAAAATCTTTTCGGGATCATCTGATCTCACCACTTGGTAAAGAACCAACGGCGCAGCTTGCTCGAGCTCAGACACGACTGATGCCGTCTGTTTCTCTGTGGGAATCGATTCGTGTGTTTCAGCTCTCGCTCTAACAGCCCCCCCCCCCCTCTTTCATCTCACTCTCTCCCCATGAGAAATAAATAATCTGTGCTTTCTCTCTCTCTCTCTCTCTCTCTCTCTCTCTCTCTCTCTCTCTCTCTCTCTCTCTCTCTCTCTCTCTCTCTCTCTCTCTCTCTCTCTCTCTCTCTCTCTCCCCCCCTCCTCTCTCTCTGAGTAAATCTGGCATCTTGCTGCTCACTGCCCTCCATTAACTTTTATTATTCGGTGGTTTGGTTCTCCTAAAGTCGGTAGGTATGTGCATCTTTGCTTTCAAGAGGATTCAAAATCAAATGTTATTTGTCACATTCTTCTTAAATAACAGGTGTAGATTAACAGTGAAATGCTTACTTACGGGTCTTTTTCAACCATGCAGAGTTAAAGATAAAACATTAAATACAAATAGAAATAGTGACAAGAGGAATAAATACACAGTGAATTACGAATAACAATGACGAGTAAAAATAACATGGCTATATACAGGAAGTACCAGGTAATAACATGGCTATATACAGGGAGTACCAGGTAATAACATGGCTATATACAGAGAGTACCAGATAATAACATGGCTATATACAGGGAGTACCAGGTAAAAACATGGTTATATACAGGGAGTACCAGGTAATAACATGGCTATATACAGGGAGTACCAGGTAATAACATGGCTATATACAGGGAGTACCAGGTAATAACAGGCTATTATTACAAGGAGTTACCCAGGTTAATAACATGGTTATTACAGGGAAGCCCATGTAATAAACATGGCTATATAACCGGGAGTACCAGGTAATAACATGGATATATACAGGTAGTGTATCCGGTAATAACATGGCTCATATACAGAGAAGTACCAAGGTAATAACATTGGCTATATACAGGAAGTACCAGGTCATAACATGGCTATATACAAGAGAGTACCAGGTAATTAACATGGGCTATAATACAGAGAGTACCAGGTTAATTAACATGCTATATACAGGGAGTACCAGGTAATAAAACATGTTTATACAGGAAGTACCAGGTAATAACATTGGCTATTATACAGGGAGTAACCAGGTAATTACATGGCTATATTACAAGGGAAGTACCAGGTTAATAACATGGCTATATACAAGGGCAGTACCAGGTAATAACCTGGCTTATTATACAAGGAAGTACCAGGTAATAACATGGCTATAACAGGGAGTACCAGGTAATAACATGGCTTATATACAGAGAGTACCAGGTAATAACATGGTTATATACAGGGAGTACCAGGTAATAACATGGCTATAGAGAAGGAGGTACAGGGAGTACAGTAACATGGAGTACAGTATACATGGCTATATACAGGGAGTACCAGGTAATAACATGGCTATATACAGGGAAAGTACCAAGGTAATAACATGGCTATATACAGGGAGTACCAGGTAATAACCATGGCTTATACAGGGAAAGTAATACCAGGTACATAATACATGGCTATATACAGGGAGTACCAGGTAATAACATGGCATATACAAGGAGTACCAGGTAATAACATGGCTACAGGGAGTACCAGGTAATAACATGGCTATATACAGGGAGTACCAGGTAATAACATGGCTATATACAGGAGAGTACAGGTAATAACATGGCTATATACAGGGAGTACCAGGTAATAACATGGCTATATACAGGGAGTATCAGGTAATAACATGGCTATATACAGGGAGTATCAGGTAATAACATGGTTATATACAAGGAGTACCAGGTAATAACATGGTTATATACAGGGAGTACCAGGTAATAACATGGCTACAGGGAGTACCAGGTAATAACATGGCTATATACAGGGAGTACCAGGTAATAACATGGCTATATACAAGGAGTACCAGGTAATAACATGGCTATATACAATGAGTACCAGGTAATAACATGGCTATATACAGGGAGTACCAGGTAATAACATGGCTATATACAGAGAGTACCAGGTAATAACATGGCTATATACAGGGAGTATCAGGTAATAACATGGCTATATACAGGGAGTACCAGGTAATAACATGGCTATATACAGGGAGTACCAGGTGATAACATGGCTATATACAGGGAGTACCAGGTGATAACATGGCTATATACAGGGAGTACCAGGTAATAACATGGCTATATACAGGGAGTACCAGGTGATAACATGGCTATATACAGGGAGTACCAGGTGATAACATGGCTATATACAGGGAGTACCAGGTAATAACATGGCTATATACAGGGCGTACCAGTACTGAGTCGATGTGTAGGTGTACAAGGTAATTGAGGTAGCTATGTACATAATACTGTACAGTGCCTATAGAAAGTCTTGAAACCCCCTTGAACTTTTTTCACTTTTTGCTGCCTTAAAATTACATCTAAAAAGGGGTTAAATTCAGATCTACCTACTCCACATTTTCAAAGTAAAATACTTGGTTAATACTTGGAGGAAGCACCTTTGGCATCCATTACAGCTGTGAATAATTTGGAATAAGATTTTACCAACTCTCAGGGCTACATATAGTCATTGTTTTTGTCAAAATTGCTCATTCAATTTGGTTGGGACTCATTGATGAACAGTGATAATTAAACCTTGTCTCTGATTTTTTAAGAAGATTTAAGTCAGGACTGAGACTAAACCACCCAACACCTTTTGGAAACCCATTCTTGTGTCTTTGGCATAAATATGTGTGTAATTGTCTCACTGAAAAATACAATTATCCCAGGGTTGAGGTGGTCAGAAGACTGAGGTGGGTTTTCCTCTAACAATTTACCTGCGCTTTGCTCCTTTC